GCGGTCTCCTCACGGGCCGGGGCCGGGGCGCGGCCGCAGAGAACCGGTGTTACTAAGCGCTTGTAAAGAGCAGTGCTTTATTAAAAGATCAGGCCTCTTAAGGGTATCCAGAATTATTTTCAAGAACTCAAAGTAAGTACAGAGAAAAATGATTTCACAGGGCGACGCGGTACTACCCCTGCTGTCCACAACACTTTTAACCCCCTCTGTCCACAGCTTGCCCGGAGGGAAGCGCTGGTGCTGGGAAGGAGACAAACACACGAATCCTGTGAAACGCGGCATCACGCTGGACAGGACTGTTGCCCACAGGAACAGGCCGCATGAGCGTAGACTGTGCTCACTAAGTCCTCAGGTTTCTGGTCTGACGTCGGCTGTTCTTCCACGCTGAGAGTGGAGCCTGTAAATGAGAGGAAAAAAGAAACCACGGGAGGGTTTTTTTATACACTCAGGGACTCGTGTTAATATGAACACCCTCGTGGTCTTAGAGTTTTTCACATCAGCATCTGTGTGCCATGGTGTTACCCAACGCCGTATAAAAATGGGTCATGCAACTAGTATGTATTGTTTTCCCACTGAAAACAATAGATACTCGGAATGCAATACAAGGATCGTGCTTATAGTTTTAGTGTGTGCAGTGGCTGAAATTTCTCATTTTCATGAAGTTAAATTCAGGATAGGCTGTGCTAATACTGGTTAGGATGGTTGGTAATGAGACTTATCTTCTGGTGTGCAAAGATTTTAAAATACTTCTTCCCTAAACATTTTTTTGAACAGGGAGGGGTGCAATGTGGCATACAGCCCTGAATTAGAGTGTTTTTCCCATGCTAAATATTCCCAGCAAGCTGAGTAACTTAAATAGGAAGATCACATGAGCCCTCAGTTGGACTGTAGCTCTCTGTTTCACCATGGAGAGGATGAGCAGTAGGGAGCTGTATGGGAAGAAGAATCATATTTAGATACCCCAATTGTGCTGTGCACAAACACACATTTTACAGACTTACCAGCTGGTACACAGTGGAAACCAACAGACACAGGAACAATGTTGGTTGCTAAACAGCCTTCTACGCAGTGCAGAACTGGTTCAACAGAGTAGCATTTTGAGGCCTTCTTTTCAAATGCAACAGGTTTCTCAATTTTCACAAGTTTGCGCTGCAGCTTGCAAGCTATAAAACATGAATTCTTTTAAAGCATCTACAGAATTTAAATAAATAAGTTTTCTGTATTCAATTTGTAAATTAGCAACAACTAAGAGCAATGGGCATATCAAGTGGTAGAAGACATGTGAAATCTAATCTCATTGAAGTGAGAGTTTCCGTCAATGACTTAGGTTGTAAGAGAAACGCATTCAGGGCAAAATCCCAGGGACAGAGGCATGTAAAGTAGGAGTTAGGTAAGACATAGCTGTCCAAATCTGAAGATAACTTGTGAAAAGCTTTGATCAATTGATACACAACTTCACCTGAACTCTGACTCTGCTCTGACAGTAGGGGCGTCTAGTCATCCAACTTCTGCAATGGGTCTAGCATCACACCTGTCTTGCCAGGGCTGAGCAGCTTCCTCTTCAAGCCTCCACGATCCAGGTTTTCTTAGACCTGTCTCCTCAGAGGAGCTTGATCTAAGAGCATATTCAAAAAATGCCACTGCATGCCAACTGGGTTGGGTTCCTCACAAAGTGCAGTACACGCTAATGCTGTCAGTTATGGATGTTGTTTTTATACAGAAGCTAAGTGCTAAGAACAGTCACTCCAGGGCTGAAGATTTTGGATTAAGTTCATCTTCAGCCTGAGGTAGTTAAAGTAGGTATTTCCCAACTCAGTTTTCCCTATATTTTGATAGCTATATATTTTTTTCTTCTGGGAAGGTAAAAGCCTGAAAATCACAGAATGGAAATAAGGAGCGAAACTGTGAAGAATTAGATAAGCTGTCTTTTGTCATCAATCAAACTACCTACTTTTCATACTAATGTATCAGCTTTTACCTGCCTGGTATGGCTTAGGGAATTTTATGTTTATAATTCTATCTGGAATATACATACTTCAGGTAGTTACATAATGCAAAATAAATTGATGTAAGAATGCAACAAAACCAGACCTTGCAGTGAGCTACCAACTTCAGGAAAAAATAGACTTTTTCGCCTGTGGACACTAACCACAAAGATAGTGAAAAATAGGTAATCATGCTGCAATTAATATAAATCAACTATATAAATCTTATGGCTATTCATGTGATTAATTAATTAGTCAAATGCAATGATATTAATATATGTTAGAATCTTAATACCTCCAGCGCAAGGGTCTTCTGAGACAATCCAAGACTGAGCAAAACTCACTGCATCTTTAGCTAAATATCCGCTAGGCATTTGATATTCCCTTTCCTTCTCACCATCATATTTTCCACAAATACCACATGTTTTTCCAGCCATCCAGAAAGCAACCTGAATCTGTGTAAAAATAAAGATGCGTTTAAATGTCTGTCTTATGAAAATAAAAGCATTGAAAATAGATTAAAAAATACCTCAAGTGTATGTCCATCATAATATAGTTTATCTATGCCATAGTCAGGGGCTTTTAATGACAGGCCTTTATTTTCACTGCTGATCAGCATGCTTGCATCTGCAATAAAAAAGCAGAATGAGATTTCTTTGAAAAGGAAGTTATTGTTCAGAGTCCGATTTGAACCTCCTGTTCACTTTATGGGGAATTAACGTAGGCTCTGTTATATCTTCAAAGAGATGGTGGAAATGAGAAGGTGTACCCCCTATCCTACCCCAGCATAAACAGAAGCTCAGTGACTAGGTCAGCTGTGGCTGGAGGAGACCTAGTTGCCTGTTCTGTGAGAGTCTTAGTGGACAGCCCAAGATACCAGAGCACTGTTTTATTTAGTTTGTGTAAAGTACAAAAAATTGGCATTCTCTTTCTTTGCTCATCTTTCCTGTCACCCTCCATAAAAGCCAGCATGAAGTTGTGATCAAATCACCTAATTTTCTCGTATTAGGGTGACCTTTATCTTGAGAGAGGGTTGCGGGATCACATTCTTTCCTTCGAGAAAGCAGAAAAGATTAAATGAAAAATAAAAATGTTTTCCTACCAGAATTAGATGTGTATGGAACATCTGTCGGAGCTTGAACACCATTAATCTTCAACTGGATGAGTCCATTGGAAACATACATGTCAATCTCACTTCAATTAAAGGAAATGAGTATAAACAAATGCTTCTTCTTCATGCTACTCAACGCACAATTTCTAATCCTGGTAGAACCAACGCTGCAGGATGTTCATATCATTCTGGCATGAATACCTGCTACCTTTTGGGATGAAAATAGATGGACCCCAGGAAAGCATGCCAAGAGAAGTGCTCACAAAACACACTTCCCTGGGGTTATTCATCTCTTGAGTGTCTGTTTGTGGCCATAGTTTGGGAGGGGAGGTACCAGGCTAGAGGAGTCCTTGGTACAAAACAATGTAACTGCTCTAATGTTCGTGTAAAGTTGAAGGTGCTTTACATTGCAAAGGAAGACTGGGTTTCCTACTGCAGTTATGATGTCTTTCAGCCTGAATATTCTGTGTATCTTTCTTCTTGAGAGCAGTATTTGCTCTTGTAAAGAAACATGAAGCACAAGCCCATAAAAAACAGTACAGTTGTATGAAATGATCACAAATGATACACTGACATGGAATCTCTTTATCACAAAAGGTACTGTTTATAAAAAGGAGCATCCTTCTGTGCAGCCACAGAAGAGGTCCAGGGAATACTAGTGTCTCTCTATTCTCTAACATTATGGCACAGTTAGGCACCCAATATTTCAAGAAAAAAAATAATTACTTGTAATGAAAATGCACAGATCAAAGTCTGTTTATTCCCTTTGAAGAATATTCCCTACAATGATTCTGCTATGCATAATCCCATACAACTTAAGAGGAGCAGACTATACTTTTATAGTATAGCCTATAATTGCAGAGGTGATTGTTCCAAGATGAAACAAAGCGTGTCTTAAATTCATTTCAAATAGATTTAGAACATTATGCACCAACTAAGGGATAACCTAAGAGAGTGCTCCTGATATGGCAGAAGTAATTCCCTTTTTAGCTATGTCCACTTCTCACCTTCTCTGCTGATATGACTGCGTAGGTGCTAATTAGTCTAATTATTGGTTTAGTATAGGAGATCAGACTGAATTATTACAACAGTCCCTTTTGCCTTTACAGTTTATGTGTTTACCTGATTACTAAGAACTAAAATGAGATAGTTAAATGCTAAGAAATTAATCAGAAATTTCATGTAGTAAAGGCTTCAGGTTTCTACGAACCTCAGATGTATTTCAAAAACAAAGGACTTTCCAAAGACAAAAACAAAGTCCTAAACCCCAGTGACGTTACTAGAACTCTTTCTATTGACATCAATAATTTTTGCATGTGTCTTATGCTGGTACCAATCTAGTCTTCACATTTATAGCATAATCAGCTTGACATCTATGTGTCATAAAGGTTCCATTACTTACTGACTGGCAAGTCTGACATTTATTGCTATATGGTTAGTGGACTTTTCAGGTCTCTTCACTGTCACCAGGAATTTCAGTTCTGGACTACAATCCTGAGCCAAGACATGGTAGCAATTTGCAGGCATTGAATAGTTAAATTCAACCCCATTGAACGTTGTGATCATATCCTGGGAAGCTGAACAACGAGCTGAAAAAAAATCAATTAAAAATAAGCCTTTTATATTTCATATAAAGCAATTATTCTACTTTAGATTTTTGATCATTTTGTAGCCTTACTTATTTCCACATAAAAGTAGAATAATTCCTTCAGATGAAATTATTCTGGATTTGCAGCAATACAAAAGCAAACCTTTGCCAGTCCATGAACAACAAAGCAACCCATTCACAGTTTTAATCACTGTGTGAGATAAATTCTGCTCACAGCTGTGCTGGTGCAACTCTCTGTGTGTGGCCTTTTGACTTTAGTAACTGTTGTAGTAAACAGAATTTCTTAATTAATATATTATCAACACCAAAGGAAATTCTCTAAAAAGGGCTGCTGTTTGGCAGCATATTTGTCAGATGCATGGCTTTAACTATTTATGTTTAACTTTAATGACTGAGTGATACCAGGATTAGAAATAGTTAGGAGATAGGGAGGAAAAAAGCCTACACTGTAGTAAAATTATCACATTTTCATTGTAGTGCTCTTTTGTTGGAAATCTTACCAGCTCTGATTGGAAGTTATTTTACAGTAATTTGAATGAATACAGGCTAGTTTTGGTGTCTACCAAAGAACCACAGA